CTTCATAAACTTTCCATTATGCAATACATAAGATATCCTAGACAAAAAGATGTTGTAAAAATACTCAAATGATGTGTCATTATTAAGTAAATACAAAAAAAAAACATTGTTAAGCACATTTTGTTTATCGTCAAAAATGAATTTGTTTTGATTTTTTATAACGTTTTAGAATAACCAAACTAATAAAATTTTGTATTTTAAAATTATTATTAGTTATTAACAAATTATAAATTTTAGATCAGAATTGATATAAATATGACAACTAAAGTGTAAAATAACTGTTCTTTAAAACAGTAAATATTTAGAAACTGCTAATGACATTGAACCTTTTCAAAATGTTGCAAAAAGTTGCTAAGTTTTAAAAAATTACAAAAGCTCTCCATAAAAAGCAGCGATATTGTTGCGTCGTTTGCACTTGTTTCAAAAGTTTGATATCAAAAACACACGATAGTATTTTAAATAAAAAAAAACAATAACACTTTCAAAATAGAAAGTCTACTTTGTCTATTTTTTCTTTGTCATAAGTCTACTTTGCACATTTTTTAAATTATCATCAGTGTGGTAGTGCCTAAATGGGGTTCGTGAGCCTCTTTAGGCACAGCTGGGATGGGTTGCGTAATCTTCATTGAGCGACGTGTCCTTTAGTTCAATATTATATAATTAGATTTCGCTAATTTCTTTTTATGAAAATTTTACTTTAATTTTAATTAATTAGATTTAATGGTTACGATTTACCAAAATAAAAAATATTAGCAAAAAAAAAAAAAAAATTTGAACAAGTAATTTGATTAGTTTGTAAAACTGGTGAAAACACGTTGTCGTTCTCTAATACATTTATTATTTCTTAAAAATATTTATAGAGGATAAATAGCTTTAATGTTATGTAAAATTAGATTCAAAAAAAAAAATAATAATAAAACAAAAGTTTAAAACCTAAAATTAAAGTTTACCAATGTGATATAAAAAAAAATCAAAATTTTTAATAAAAACCAATATAACACTAGATAAATGTCAATAAACTTTCAAATATAAAGTAAAACCAACATTGTAGACTACGATGATATTGCATTCTAATTTATGCTTTATTGCTTTTTTTTTAGCAATTTTTAATCCAGTAGACAAGTAGTTAGCAACAAGTTACCGATTAGCTAGTCTTATAGCGACAATAAATCACTTTTTTTATTGTTACTATTATTATATTTACACGTTTCCTTTTTGAAAATGTATTTTACATTTTTTCGCCAGCATTAACTTATAAATATATAATTATAAATAGCTTTAAAATATCGCTATGTTGTTGTTGCTAGTTGGATTAAGGTGGCAATTTTTCTGGCATCGCTATCTTTATCGTTCAGCAAGCCACATTGGTAAATCTCTGTTATGAGAGACCATTAATTTAAAATTTTATTTCTGCATTCTTAAATTTTATTCAAATTATTTAAAATAAATTTATTCAAATAAATTAAAATAGATTTTGTTAAAATAACTTGAAATAATGCATCAAAAATAAAGTATTTATTTTAAAATTTTCTATGGGCATAAAAAGACATTTAATATCTCATAAGAAAACCAGATATCTTATAAAAATTCCATTTATCTTATATTCTGAAAAGGCTAACATGCTATTATGATAACAAACATTACAAAAACTTTATAATACCATTATAAATAACGGTTAAGGATTAAATTTCTGTCGCGCTGCCTTAAAAAAGAAAAAAAAAAAAAAGCACGCCTCTACTTTAATTGTTTTATATAAAATAGTTTTGAAGATTTCAGAAAAAGATTGCGAAATAGATAGCGTTAAAAATAGACAAACAATGCTGATTTAATTTTTAAATATAGAAAAAACACAGAAATGTATGTATGTATATATATATATATATATATATATATATATATATATATATATATATATATATATATATATATATATATATATATATATATATATATATATATATATATATATATATATATATATATATATATATATATATATATATATATATATATATATATATATATATATCCGTATACAAGGTTGCTGAAAAAATTAAGTTTCATTTGCGAATAAGAACCCCGGTAAAATTTTAATGAAAGTTCAAAATACAAATTTTTTTTGTCTTGTTTATTAATATTGTTTATTAATAGATAGTTTATAGTAGGGCTTTCAAAAGTTGTGGAAATGCTTGCCGAATACCCGTCGAACGAACGGGCGAATCCGGGTAATCGTTAAAAAATTAAAATATTTCATAAATGTTTTTCTAATTAACAGTCAATAAAAAGTCTTTAAATTTTATTTCAATTAAAGTTACGGTTTAGAAATACTAGAGTCTCCACTGTTTCGGGGGCCGAAAATGCATGCCTTGGATTTACCACATCCCCAGTTAATCTGATGGTATTGAATTTACTTATATGCAGATATTCTTGTTGGCTAAAATAGCATAATTATATCTTCCATCCTTTAAGTTTATGAAAAATTTTTTTCGAGAGACAATTTATTAAACAAGTTAAATAAACTTCTGTTATAATAGAAATCATTACACATGAGTAATAAAAAAAAATCATTGAGTAATAATAGGTAGGTACCTGAATCAGACACCTAAAAAACTTTCCAAAATATATATAGAAATTATGATGGTGTTAAAGAAATCATAACTATTAAAACTTTTAACAACAAGACCTTCAAGAACTTTTTTCATATACCAAATTAATATTGTTGAACTATTATATTTCAATTGATGTATTAATTTGTCATGACTTCGACTCTCTCATGACCAAACGCCCTACAGTTTTTACAAGAAAAAGTCCTGTTGGAGCTGACTAGCAACCTACTTGATATATATATATATATATATATATATATATATATATATATATATATATATATATATATATATATATATATATATATATATATATATATATGTATATATATATATATATATATATATATATATATATATAAAGGCGCGGATGCAGCATTTTCTGATGTTTGAGATACCTAACTTCCAAACATGAAGCAACCTCCAAAAACTTATATGTTTATACTTATATCAAATAAGGATGCTTTGTAAAAAATTGCAATGATTGAAGCCTGGGAACAAAAAAGCCCTTAAATTTTAGCTACACCTGCCCCAAACGTGAGAGCAACAAGTTGATAAAATAATTGTTATACTATTCTTAACTAAATCTGTATTCATCGACAAATTTTAAGATTCACACAAAAATCTTTTAGCGTTCAAAAACTATGACCATAAAAAGTTTGAACCCCCCTCAATTTGAGGGGGTAGCAAAGTTTATAAAGCCATAATTATTGAACGCTAATAGACTTTTGCGTGAGTTTTAAAATTTATAGATGAATATATACTTGGTTGAGAATAGTATGAAAATTATTTTATCAACTTGTTCCTCTCACGTTTGGGACAGGTGTAGCTAAAATTTTAGGGCTTTTTTGTTCCCAGACACCAATCATTGCAATTTTTTGCAAAGCATCTTTATTTGATATAAGTATAAACATATAAATTTTTGGGTTTTGTTCCATGTCTGAAAATTAGGTATCTTAAACATCAAAAAATGCTGCATCCGCGCCTGATATATATATATATATATATATATATATATATATATATATATATATATATATATATATATATATATATATATATATATATATATATATATATATATATATATATATATATATATATATATATATATATATATATATATATATGATAAAAACAAACAAAAGTAAAAATCCATAAGTTTACAAAAGAGCCCCTCAATTTGCAAATGTGCCTCTTAAATTTGCTAGATCTCCCTAATTTAAGGGTATGAGGTAGCCTTGACAGGGCTCTAAAAAATTTCTTGCACAAAATTGCGCTATTTATTTAAACTGTCAAGTTATAACTATAACTGCGCAAAAAACTGTCAAGAAAGATTTAATTTCTTTACTAATCGCATCGTGAATGTTTGGAATGCGCTACCTTTAAACGCCATAAGAGCTGTATTAGTCAATTCGTTCAAAGTTAGTGTTTATAAATTGAAATTCGTAATAGACGAATGATCGGACTTACGAGTGTCGTCTTTCAGCATCAAAATATATAATCAAAATATATTCATCAAAATATATTCATCAAAATATATAAATGTATTATATAAATGTATTATATAATTGATTTCTGAAATAAATAAACTCAAACTCATTTTAAATTTAGCAGATTTTAAACAGGTAACTCATTTTTCATTTGCATACGTTTAATCACGATTAAAGTACGATTGAATCAGTGTATTATAAAATGGATTTGTTCAAAGTGGTGTGTGCAAATGCGCTCTTTTAAAAACTAATACTTTTAGGGTAAATTAACCTATTTCTGGCAACTTTGCATTTATTATTTGAAAAACTAAATTCGCATCACGTAATATAAATAAACAACGTTTGGATTTAAATAGGTTACTTAACGACAACCCAGTGGGCACCGGACCAAAAAAAAAACGTCTTTTGAGCTGTCAAAAGTCGTTAAGAAGACGCTCGATACGTTAAAAAGACTTTTTTTAATGTCTTGTCCCCGCTAGGGAGTATAATTATATAAAGTTTTTAAGAAAATTAAACTTAACTTGTGTTTAAGAGCCGTTTTTTCTAAGAATCAGTTTTTTCTAAGAATCAAGAAAGTTATGTGATACCTAAGGCCTATTAATATATTAAGGCTTGAAATTGGAAAAAAATGTTTTAGTATACTTACAAAATGAACCATTACGGCAGAGGCGCTTAGTTTTGTAAAAATGTAAACATATCCAACTGTCAATACAATAAGGTCCTAACATAATAATAAAAAAAATTCGTGTGATTTTGTCTCACGCATGATATAACATGAATTAAAAACTGAACAAAAATCTAACATCAAGATAGCTATATTGCTAATTAAATAAAACATAAATCAAGCATTTAAATGTTTTTCCATTTAAAAATTAGTTTTTCATTTATTAATATAGTCATTTACACACATTATCCACCACATCACACATAATTTCTACTCTGCTGCAGAAAGTTTCTCTAAGAATAATGATATGACTGTATTATAGTCTTCTTCGGATAATGAATAATCGCCACAACGACTGATTAGAAAAGGAGCATTTACTAAACAGATAATTTTATCAGCTTGGTGATTTATCTCCTCGGTAGTAACTGGCCAGCGAAAAGTATTCTTCTCTTGCCCGTTAATCATACAATTAACTCTGATCCCAGTTATAGATACCTAAAAGTACTAGCGCAACATTTAGAATAATATAATAAAGAGTTTATGATTTGTTTAATTTTGCTTACATTCAATAAAACTTGTAAAGTCTTATACAATGTCATTCTGAAATTATTTTTACATTTTATTTATATTCCTTTTATTTTAGAGCACTGTTTTGTAAAACAAAATAAAAACTTGAAACTAATATATACTTTGAATAATATTACCTCCACAATATATCCAATATTCAATTGTTTTTCATATGCAACAGCAACCCAATCATTCACTTTCCATACAAGACAAATTTCTTTTGCAAGATTGGCGATGTCTTCCTCATATTTATTATCATCTTCATTGTCTCCTGTCAGATTAAAGTCATCATTTTCGCCATAAACTTCTTTGTTATCGTTAACCTGACTATTTTCATTATTTTCTGTTGTCGGTTCTACCAGCTTACCTTTTCTTTTCAGGTTACTAAATCTATAACAATATCAATTGTACATATTTTTAAACATATGTAAACAAACACACAAAATTATAACTTTCACCTAAATTTTAATTTCAAATTTGTAAAAGAACTATTTAACAGTCAGAAACATAATCTAATTTGCAAAAGTTTTGATAGCAACAATGCCTACCTTGAAAATAAAGATCTTATCTGTTGGCTAGCTACATATTTATCAGGCGGAAGTTCTCTCCTCAGCTGCATGTGAACCTGCTCTGGGCTCATTTTATTACCTAATTCTTCTCCACAAATAAAGTATTTATACAACAGTTCTTTCTGCTGATTTGAAAATCTAAAAGAACTTCGAACTGGTAATGCCCAACCTTGCAATAGAAAAATGTTCATGCAATGTGGTTTGTCTTTTACGGAAGCACTGTTAGAGGATGAAGAAATTGGCATATTTAGTTGTGAAGTAATTTTCATCTTATGAACAAACGAGTTGCGAACTTTATCCAATGATGTTAATGATTTCGGAACTGTATGAAGACCGGGTAGCATGTGTTCTTCTAACTCAGCATCGCTTTCAAATGATAAAGTACAATTCATTTCAATGCAAAATCTTAATGAATATAATTACCTGTCACTTCTTTTCTGTTTTTCCTTAAGTGACTTGTTACGCTTAATTGAATTATCTGTTTTGCTATATGGCAACAACAACTTAATCGAGGGTTGAATTTTAAGATTTCCATACTCTTGTTCAATTCCCTCACCGATATTGAAATAACGCCACATCTTCATACATTTCTCACCAAACTCAAATGAGTGATAGTTGCTAATGTTCTTAATCTTTGGTCTAGTAACTACAGTTTTATCATTGCTAATTTGAGCAACTGCTACTTTTGCATCTTTAGCGCCAAAACTATAATGCATAGCCTTGTGTATATCTTCAGCAGTCAAAAGATTATTACCAGAGTCAACTTAACTCCTTAAAATTGTCTTTACAACTGCACTCTCCCTGTCACATTGATCTTTTCCACAACAGGGTTCATTATAATCATATCTCAGCAACTTTATATCTCTCTCTTTGCATACATTGTAGATTGCTTCAGCTGAAAGATTTCCCTGATAGCAGCCGGCATTATCAGATTTGGTAAACATTTTCTTGATATGCGGTTGATCAATTCTGAATTGGTCTAAAACTGCAGTGGCTAACGAAACAACATCACCTATTCCCTGATCACACCTATACATTGAAGTAAAGTAAACACGTTTGATTAACTTTCCTGCTATTTTTATGAAGAACATATCCACATGTAAATTCATTCCTTTCTTGCCAAAATACTCTCTTTGGCCTTCTCTGTATCGAACCGGAAGAATTTTTTGACAAAAATCTTCAAGTCAGAAAGCAGTTTCATCGTTTCATTGCTTAAAAGCTTTGATTTTTGCCTTTTTCTGTTGAGAATCTCTCATCAGGTGTTTTATGTAGTTGAATACATCCTTTACAGCAATTTCCAAATCATAAATAGAATCAGCATCGTCAGAATTTTGAATTGTTAGTTCTTTGATCATCTCGATAGCTTTGCACAAATCATAGCAATCGGCACATACCACTTCTGATATCTCTGTGTTGGATTGAAGAATTTTTTCAGATGGATCTGATAAGGCATGTTTTGAGCTATGAGAAGAAATGTTTGAGTCATTGACACTACAATTGGTTTGATAACTTGTTTTCAAATACCTTTTTCCTTTTTCAAGCGCAGCTTCGAGAGATTTAGAACTAAATCTTTGTGCCAATTTTTGTAATGTTTGAAAACCATTCATGTCTGAAGCAGTAACATCATCTAATCCAGCTACGCTTTTTCGACTTGAAGGAAATATTGCATGCAATATTTCCACAAACCTGAATCAGATAATGGTATATAATTGTTTTCACTACAACTTTTTTGATAGAACATGATAGCGTGGCTATATTTTGTCGTTAGTATTGCATGCACTATCTTTTGTTCTTCACCGCTGTCGTATTTTAATTTGGTTATTCCATAAGCAACATCATGCAAAATACCGCTTGTAAATATATATAAGTCTAAGAAATGTTCACACTTTGTTTGATCAAGACTAGATCGGACGAATACTTTCTTCTCTGGAAATGCCAACCTTTTATGAGATGCATGCCATTTTCTTGCTGTTTCTATACGATGTTTGGTACACTCAAATGTGTTCATTATAAACTTTTTGGTGTACTTGGTATGGTCTAATAATAAGAGGATAACTAACTTTCCCATGGAACCACTTTGCTTATATACTTTCTGAGCACGAATAATTTCAATTGGGAGAGGGCTATTATAAGAAAATCTATAAGTATTTCCTCTTGTCCAGGAGCAACAGCTTCCGCAAATTTTTTCTTTAATAAGTTTTCTAGGCGAACATACTTGCGTTTTAACTTATCTTTAGTAGTATCTTCCAGATATTCGAACTTCCTTTTTAATCTAAATTTTATTGGACTTGCATTAAGAACCTCAGTTACACTCTCACGGCTTCTTAGAGATTCGTCCAAAATCTCCTGTGAAACATTAATTTCACCGGGATCAAATTCTTCATCTGGAGTAGCAGGTGTCATATATGTTTGTTCTTGTTGTGTTTGTGTTTCTGTACATAAATTGGTGTTTTCGTTGACTCTAGATAAAGCAGTTTCTTGCTTTAAATGGGTAAAACACAGCATTGCAATAACTGAAAATACTTCATTGTATCGCTTTGACATTGATATGACGACATGTATTGGTGACGCCCTTAAAGCGGGAGATTTTTTTCCTTTTATATTTAGATGGTGAGGATGAAAGCATGTTTTTGGAGGACTCCATGCAATACCAAACGTGTATCGGTGAAAAGCACATATTTGTTCATCCTTTTCAAGATTTCTTTTAAGTCTATTTGCAATAAGTCCATTTTCTTCCCAAATATTATTATCGTTTAATCGCATGACCTAAAAACAATTTTTTTAAACAATTATTAAGTGTGTCATTTTAAGCATTGTTTATAATCTGACTCTTCACGAAAAATGTTTACAAGTTTGAAATAAATTGTTGTTATTATTAAAGTACAATATTGCAAGAGTGTGATTAATTTAGTGATTATTTATTAAAAGAGTGAGGAATTAATTAAAAGAGCTATTTTTTTTTGTTTAAAGAATTTTGTCTCAAAATCTTGTTGCAGAGAAGTTATAAAGTATGTAATTATAAAAATTATATTACAGTCTGCGTAAATTTAAAATACATAATTACCTTTAAGTTGATGAGGTGTTTCTTAACATCAACATCTCCCAGCTGATGAATGTAGAACATTTTGTTTATAATTTTATGTTTTTTGAATGATCCACAATTTTCTTTTGAAAAGCAACAACAGTTTTCATAAAAATATTTGTTTTGTTCCATACTCAACTAAAAACAAGTTCTATTTATGCAGCACCTATTTCTCGATAGCAATGATAAAATATCTACTCTATTTATGCAAATTTTAAAGATCGTTAAAATAAAGTTAAGACATTTTTATGGTAAAGTAAACAACCGCCCACTAACTTGTTTCTCCACAATCGTGATATCAGCGATTCTTCTTCCATTCGATCACCACAAGTTATTTGGTTATGACGTAAATTTAAATAATTCACTTCTGATCATGTATTGTTTTTTTTTATTATTTATTTCAATTGTTATGATTTCTATATCATAGTCAGAAACGCTTAAATTTTTTCTTAACATTACGTGCAATGTTTTGTGTAATGCTAATTGCTAATTTTGGATGATAGAAATTTTATTGTGAGCGAAAACCTCCAAAAAAATATCTCTTCGTACTTAATCATTTTTAACAATTTGTACCGTTATTTTTAACTTAATATCTAAAGATCACATGAGTTTTTTTTTAAACTATGTTAGGGTCATCTTATATTGACCATTTAACATGATTATATTTTTAAAAAACTTAGCGCCTCTGCCGTAATGGTTCATTTTGTAAGTATACTAAAACATTTTTTTCCAATTTCAAGCCTTAATATATTAATAAACTTTAGGTATCACATAACTTTCTTTGCATTTTTAGACTCCAATACCTTTGATAATTTCAAATCCTAAAAGAAAAATTGTGTGCAACACTTCGCCGCTAGAATTAACTCCGATTAAAAATTGACAAAACTGATTGATTTTGTACTTTTGAACTATGATAATTAGCCAACCGCACAGTGTCACGCAACTTTTTTATATTTTTTGGAGAGAGCTTTTGGGTTACGTCTGATATTAACTACAAAAGCTATGTGCAACTTTTTGCCTTGCCAAAAAAATGGGTTCAAAGGTGGCAAAAACTAAATTTCTAAAAATTTTTAAAAAAATCTCAAAAATTTAAGCCCAGATTCCGAGTGAACGAAACATTTTTAAAAATTTTTTTTTTCCCCAACAGGTTTTCTTTATATTCTGATCAATATATAAAAAATTCAAGCAATTTGGAGGAGGTCACTTCCATTGACTGCCTGATTCTTACAAAAAATGACTCTTAAGCATTAACTTTTTAGATACTAGCTAAAAGACCTATTTCTGATCATTTGAACATAATTCTGATTGTATAAAGAAATTCACAAATTAAAAGAACTTTTGATCAATATACAAAATACACATGAACGAATATACAGTTTTAACTAGAGATGTGCCGGGTACCCAGGTCCAACCCTAGGACCCGGTGATTCAGCAATTTTACCGGGTATCCAGAATCGGCCGTTTTGTTGATGTACCCGTTACTGGGTATATTTAAAAATATTTATAAATGACTTAAACTTTAACTACTGTAACTAATAAATAATAAAAATAATAAAACAAATTTTATTTTGATGATACTTTAAATTGTGTAGAAACATTATTAACCAGTTAAAAAATAGTGCTTCAACCAATAAACTTCTTGATAGTTTTAGAAGTTGATAGTTCCAATGTTCTAAATCTAGACGTGTCTCACTTAAATTACGTTTTCGAATATGTTTTTGCTATATTATATTGCAAAACGTTGATAGCAGATAATATTGCAAAAATGAAACTGATTTATACAGATATAAAAACCGTAAAAGAAAACGAAATAATAGGAGAATACAAAGGAAATAAAAAAAAAGAAAGAAAAAAATAAGCAATTGCTTCTTTCTATTGCTTAGAACGCGAGAGAGGAATTTCATTCATTTTTTGCAATTAAAATTGCGAAAAATAAATAAAAGTTTAATATTTTGCATAGGTCGTTTTTTAATAAGGTTTTTGCTAATTGATCGTTTATAATAAATTAACGTTTAAACAAACGACCATATAACCAAAATATACGATTTTCAACTGAATTTTATTCTCATGAAGTTTGGTTAGTCGGACGAGAAATCAATGGTTTTCGCAGGGCCAACGACACTGTTTTCAAAGTGGGGGGCACATTACTCATTTCGAAAAAAGTTCCTCAATTTCTTATAAAAATTGTCAATTTCTTTTAAAAAAAGAAAAAAGGTCCACATTTGCTCCCTTAGAAACGGGTGGAAACATGCTTCATCTTGTTTCTGAGACGAACAATCTACCGCTGCGCCACAACTGCTAAAAACAAAGAAATATTGCATAGTTTTAGAAGTTTTAATTATTTTTTAGTCGATTTTAAAAATCTAAATTATGTTCAAATAAATTTTTCAATCAATTATTTTCGAAAAAATTATTTGATCATCTAATTTTAAATTATTTCGAACGTTGATGACGTTTTTCATTTGTCACAAACAAAAAATCATAAAATAAATTAAAATGAAATACAGCAAAAAAGTGT